CCCCCAAAACCCCAAAACCCCAAAACCCCTCCTTGGACTAAAATCCTTGCAATTCTAAAACTTAAAAATAATATAAAAATGAACCAACATGACTTCAGCCTGAAGAAAGCCTTTAGGAAGTATAACAAATTCATGAAGAAGAAGACTGATACGAACACGAGGCTTGCTGATCTGAAAAAGAAAATTAACAACTGATTCGGCCAGAAATCAATCCGATGTAAGTTTTAAACAGGGCGATGAGCCCTCTGAATGGCTCTGGGCCTGGATGACCTTTTGTAGTAAACAAAACACCTCAGCAAGTATCCAGACGGACTGATAGAGCGTCCCCTACTAAGTGGTATGATTCACATAAAAGAAATACACAAGTTAAGAGTAAGATGAAGTTTTGAGATAATTTGTTTAGAATCTCAAATATTCCCGAATGTTAAAGGTATGCCCTCCTTTGGTAAGATCGATAGAATCGGAAAAACTGCAGAGCAGAAGGATTGCTGAAGAGCTTTCTCAGACTAGATATCAGGAGTATAAAAATTATCAGAATTTTTCGACGATTAAACCACTTAAGAAAGAAATAACGCAAGTTTTCCCTGAAAATCCTTTAACCAATTCGGTCCACCGTCCAAATATAGTAAGACGTTAAACTAAATTATAGAAATTTAAGCTAAGAACATCAGAAGGGCTTTCTATGGATACTATTTACTCACAGTTTGCAACAAGTCATGCTTCTCAGATCTCTTTAAAATCTAGAGAAGATAGGAACTCGGTCTCCAACAAGTTCAGTAGCCTGAATCAGCGGAAGAGTAGTTCTTGCTCCAGTAACACAAGAGATGACTTTGAGCGTGAAGACACTAAAAATGAAGCACTACCCAGTATTCAGAGTCAAGGAGAGTTTCTCCTCGGTTCTCAACATAAAGGTAAATACCCTATTAATAATTCTTCGCTTTTAGCAAAATCAAGGATGAAATCGCAAGAAAAACTGACTCTGGCCCATATGATCAAGGTTAAAGTCTTCTCTACGGGAGATGAGAGTGGTCAATCTAAGTTCCTAAAGGATATCTCAAATCCTAAAAGTTATGATAACCTCCATCCTATCTCAATGCAGAAAGAGTACGAACGCTACTATTTCAAGGTATATTCCTCACCAAACTGTCTAGAAGGAGCCATACAAGTCACATGTGAGGCATAAGAGCACAAATCAGGGTAAATAACTACTTTAGTGACTTATCAGACCACAAGATCCTTCCAAAAGACAATAATTCTCCTGAAAGGTGTGTTCAATTTAGTCATTACTCTAGAAATTTCAGTCATATTAGCCGTAACCACATTCAAATTCCTGAGAAGCCAAAAATATCGAAGTATGAGAAGGCTAAGAGGATGCTCAAAATGACTGGGACGACTTCCCTCAGGTACAGAGAAGCTAAAAAGAACATCATAAAAGTCACTGACAAACAGTAAGTATAGCATAATTACCTGATTAGTGTCAAGAAGAAAAGGAATAATAGCTACATGACTCAAGAGAAGAATGATGAGAAGTCCAAGACTGGAGCCAAGTCTAATACAAAGTATCTTAATGTTGGCTTATTTTAGGAGCCATGAGTACCCTGATGACACCAGAGAACTACTCAGGCACATAAAGTCTCAGAAAAGTGTGAACCCTGAGCAAATAAAATTGAGTAATTTTACTGGTAATGAGTTAGAAAATTTATTAAGGAAGATTGATAAAGCAGATAGGGTCAACTCTAAGGTATACTTTCCATCTGATATCCCTTTAATGGCCTCCCTTGAGAAGGAGAGGAAGAGTAAGCAACCTGTGTGACCATAGACTCGCAAATATCGAACAGGAAAAGCTTTGCCTACCAGCAAAAGATCAACATTTTTGAAGACATTCAATAATTACTAGGTATGTGGGGTTTTGGGGTTTTGGGGTTTTGGGG